ATGTTGGTCTTAACTGAGATTACCAAGAGCCTGTGTTTCTCTCCTGGTGTGTGTGTGTGTGTGTGTGTGTGTGTGTGTGTGTGTGTTAGGGGTGTTAGGGGAGGTCTGGAAGATTTCTTGCTAATCACTCTCATTACAAAAGCATCCATCTTTCAACTTGAACTCAATTCTCTTACTCCTGCTATACCTGTATATGTAACTTAGATTCTAGCCACCAAATAATTGAGTTTTAGGAAGATTATGAGTCCAGGGTATCTCATGAGTCTGTACTCACCACAGTCCTGGAGAGGAAAATTGTGTTTTACATCCCTCAATCCTGCTGTCTTGTAGATAATATGAAACCCATTCCACACCAATGTCATCTAGAGGTGTTTGAGAAAACCTGCATATATGGTATTGCAGGCTCTATCACAGCTCTGGTCCTGGAGAAGTCATTCTCACTTTAAGCCACCTCCCCCAGCAGGCTCACCTGCTGAGGCCCATAACTAAGGGGGAGGAAATACCCTATATTCTTCTCTGGCTCCCTCACCATAACCAACTGACCCTGCACAGAAGCTGGTATATCATCCCACCTGACCTTAAGGCAGACTGTACCATGCCCACCCTTGGGACATTGCCTGGGCCTCCTTAATAGAAGTGGAAACATGACTGATTACTCAAGTGTGGCCTTGGAGACCTCTGGGGCTCCCTGAGCCAATTACAATTAACTGACTGGTTCTCCAGGATCTGTCTGTTATTCTCAGTTCTATTTATCTCTCCTACCCTACCCAATCCAAAGTGACCCATTCAGGTCATTAAAAAACACAACTTTTTATATGGCTTGTGAAAATCTCTGTTAGTATATTCCTCATAGTTTCCCTACTTTGAGCCAAATCTAACTAGCCTATCCATCATATCATTTTCCATGTCTCACATAACCCAACCAAGGTAACCATTATCCAAATATCTTCTTTCCATGGAATTTTAGACTTAAGTTCATTATCATGAATGTGGATTGTTTGTTCAATGAAAATCTGATGTTTTGTATTGCTCTCATACAGCTTCTATTTCAAAATTACTAGTTATTATTTTATACTATGGTTTTGCCCACAACAAAGCTAAAAATTAAAGATACTGATTTTTGTTATCACTGTGTGTCAACTTGAACATCTAGGTGAAAAGTTGACAGGCAGCCCAGTGCTATGCTAGCAAGCTTCTGGGGAAATGTAAAGTCTACCAGTAGTTCACAGGAGATAATACTAAGCCTGTCCTAGTTGAACAGATCTCCCCAGAACACATGGTACATAGGAAATAAAGTCACAGATCGTTTGTCCAGTCTAGGGCTCAGCCTGTTAGCAGCTAATGGAAACAAGGAGTCACAGTGTTAGCCTGTGGCCTGTCAGATCTGAGGATCCAGCTCAACAAGCAGGCATACCAGGTCAGAATGCAGCCCTCAGGCCTGAGCCAGCCTGAGCATCACAAGCCAGCCCTGCCAAGACCATCAAGACCATCAGGGCAAGTGTGATGTGCAGCGGCCTTGTGTCAGCAAGGTACCCCAGGATGACGATGGTTTGAGGGGTGGTGTCTCCTATCCATACTGCTGTCCCCGATAACTACATGATCAGTAGAAGTGATGAGATCTGTTGGTACTTTACTGTACTTGGCTAATATTTCTCTTTAAATATCCCACTAGAAGCTGGGTGGTGGGGCACACGCCTTTAATCCCAGCACTCGGGAGGCAGAGACAGGTGGGTCTCTGTGAGTTGGAGACCAGCCTGGTCTACAAGAGCAGGTTCTAGGACAGCCTCCAAAGCCACAGAGAAACCCTGAAAAAAAAAAAAATCCCACTAGATGTTCAACATCAACTTAAACTTATTTGAAATCGATGACAGTAGGTCTTCAGATCCTGCCCACTCACTGTAAAAACATTTCATTACATACTGGTAAACTTTGAACATCTCACTAATATGTAGAAGCATCTGTAAGAACTATACAGATATCACTTAAAGAGCTAGACAAAAACTCCACATGAGTGAGAAAAGGCACTCCCAGACGCCTTAAGGTTGTTGGGTAAAAATTCCAATAAGAAGAATGGGCTACTTTTCTTGAGTCGTTGTCCAGGGGAGGTCCTTGAGCCCATAGTTGTGACACTATTGATGATGGAGTTAGAGGATGCTAGATGTACAATGTACATCTTTAGTGCTGAAGATATCATATGGTATGGCTATCAGACATGGGAAATACTGCTAGAACTAAACTGGTAGCTCCTTCCCTTTTATCTGCCTTTTGTAGTGCTAGAAGACACCACATTGGCTTCTAGAGGAAAATTATCACCACCCAGTTCCACTCAATTATGGACCCTATGCACGGCATTACCAATATGCCAGGCAAGCTGTGTACACTGATGTAATAGTGGCACAAGTATTATGTGTGAATTGCTTTTCAGTTGAATTTGATGTCAATTCCTCAGCAATGACCTCAAATGGCACTATAAGCCAGAAGGGGGAGGTCAGAGGTTCCAGTGAGGAAGCTAGTGCTATTATTCTCTTAAGTGACTATAAAGCAACTGCCAAATTACCTTCTAAGTGTGTGTGTGTGTGTGTGTGTGTGTGTGTGTGTGGATCATTACTACTGTTAACCTCAATTGTTCATGGAGGGAGACTCTTTTTGTAAAAGTTACTTTTATATGAAGTACAAAGCAGATTCACAACTGCCCATACTTCTGAGATGAAGTGACTGTTGCTCTTAGATAGTGGCCCAATACTAAGGTGTAGATGGAGAAAAACTGTCAGACATCTGTATCACCCCCGTAAGGTTCATGGGCAGTTAGAGAAGAGTGCAGAAAGAATGTAAGCGCTAAAAGAGGAGGTATAGTCCTCTTTTGTTCTTTCCTCTGCATTGAAACTTTTCCACCTTGAAGGTACAGGGGGTTCCTTAAGGCTCAGAAGGTAAAGGAAAGTAACAAGTCTCAAGAAGTTCCTGAAACTAACAAGATTTACAACAGTCTTCCCAAAGTTTACACAAGCAGAGGCGACTTCTAGGGAGAAGAGACTGTTTGACTGGCTGAGACACCTGCAAGTTGGAAAGGGAAGTACAGAAAGATAGCTTTCCTGAGTCATCACCTATGCTGGTGTGGGCCTTTTGGTAATGCAGCCACCTCTGAGCCATCCACACTCTTGTAAGTAATCTCATAAATTCACTGGTTTGCTAAACTAGAGCTGGGTGAAATACTTCTTTGGTTTGTCATGGTTGCTCTATCTTAGGTTAGAAGATGTATGTGCGCATCTACCCAGGAAAATTTACAAAACACCTTTTGAGGTGAGAACTGTATTTGTGTATCAACCAAAGATTACAACAAATTACAAATATAACAGAATTTGAAGAGCTGAAAATGACATTGTGTGCAAAATGAGTTACAAACATAAGCAAAATTAGTGGGAAATTATTATAATAAAACATGATTCAGTTAATACAAAATGTATTGTGATTACAAAAGTCTATCAACAAAGATACCTGCATTTTTAAAACATGAAATCACCATTTAAATACATGGAAATAAATGATACTGAGAGAAGTCTGGTGGTAAATTAAAACAGAGATGAAGGGAAGTGAAATGGGGACCCCAAATCAACTTTCACCTGTCTGGACAAATGATCTTCTTTGTAGCATCTTCTTTGTTTCTGTTTAATTTCCATTACTAATTTTCTTACAAATATAGATTTTATTCTATATGAAATTTTGCATCACTACATAAATGATAGAGTTCTTTGCATTTTTTCCTCTTAGTTTATTGTTTTTATAAAACTTTTCCCTTTTCTGGAATGTTGCCAGTTGGCATAACAGATACTCACGGTTCTGCTAAGAGATTTTTCTTGACTAGCTGAGCTGCAGTGTGTGTAATAAATGATTTGGCCTTGTTCTCCAAGAGGCTAAATGAACCCATGTCTGAAACTCACATGCTACATTACTTATTCTAAGCAGAGAATGATAAGAACTAACATAAGAGGCCTTCAAAAAAAGACCCTGAGTTATGACTGAAGCCATATCGAGTCAGTCATAATTGACACATTAGGAAAATGAGGTGATGTTGAGGCCCCAGTTAGACCTGATGCTCCACATCCATGCAAATGCAGGTGGCCCTATGTGGACACACTGAGTTATAAATTTTTTAAAAGGCATGAAGTTGGGAGAATAAAGTGGTGTTGAGGGAAAGGGCAGAAAGTGGAAGGAGGAACCGTGGGTGGATTTGATCAAAATGCAGCATGTGAATGTCTGGGTGTGAAATTAAAATGAAGATACAAAATGGCTAGAAAATCAGAGTGAAACCATGCCTTCTGCCTTGGGTCACAGTGTCCCCTGTTTGACACAACACAGGGAATCTGACTCTGAATGTTGCAATTCACAATTAAAAATCCTCTGACACTCAGACTTGCCAAGAACTAATCCCGTCCCCACACGTGCTTATGGGGCACTCTTCAATGCCCAGAACCCAGCCCATTTCCACAAGTGCTCACAATAAACCTCTCCCAGTCTCCTTCTATGGGGTTTGTGTCTGAATGCACATTTATCCTGCTGAGCAGTGATGACAGACAGTAACCCAGAGAGCAGGTCCCCACTCCAACTTCTCAACAAGTACAGCAGTAGGGTCCCAATGCCTCGAGGGGCAGTTTTGTTTTGTTTTAATTTTTATTATGTTTGTTATTTTAGTGTACAAACACCACACACACACATGCATGCACATACACACACACACACACACACACACACACACACACACACACACCCTGTATGGAGGTCAGAGGACTTGACTATCTCCTTCCACCATGTGGAATTCAGGCATCACACTCAGATCCTCTGGCTTTGCAGCAGGTGCCTTTATCTGATGAGCCATTTTGCCAGCCCAGGACAGTTTTTGGTTTTGTTTTTCTAATTTTATGCACTTTGAGAGTCTCATTAATGTACAAAATTAATTGTAATGTCTCTGACACCCAACTCCCCTCTCCCACTGAAACCCTCTGGACTCACAGCACATAAAATGTTTTATTGATCACCTTTTCCTTTCTACCCTGTGGCTGACCCTTCACATCCTTGTTCCTCAGGGTATAAATGAGAGGGTTGAGCATGGGGGTGATGATAGTATAGAAAAGGGCAACAAACTTCCCGTCACTCTCAGAATAGCTGCCCTTGGGCTGTAAGTATGTGTAGATGGCTGAGCCGTAAAACAGAGAAACCACCAGAAGGTGGGACCCACATGTCCCAAAGGCTTTTCTGCGTCCAGCATTTGACTTGATCTTCAACACTGCCCTGGCAATCTGTGCATAGGAGCCTAAAATGAGCATGGCTGGAAAAGCAACAATCACCACTCTGGCCACAAACATCTTGGCCTCGGTTCCTTCCGCCAGGAGGCCACCCACCCAGGAGACAATAGCCAATGTCTGGCAGAGAAGGGGGTGCATGATGGTTGTGTAGTGCAGAGGACGACACACAGCAGCATAGCGGTCAAAGGCCATCACCACCAGGAGCAAACTCTCTGTGGAGCCCAGAGCAAGAAATATGAACAGCTGGGCCACACACCCACCATAGCTGATGGTCCTGTCAAGTCCATGAAGGTTGATCAGGAGCTGGGGCACAGTGCTGGTGGTGTAGCAGAGGTCCAGGAAGGAGAGATTGGAGAGGAAGAAGTACATGGGAGTGTGTAATCGAAGGTCCATTCGGGAGAGAGCAATGATGGCCGTGTTGCCAAAGAGAGTTAAGGAGTAGAAAATCAAAATGTAAATAAAGAAGATGAGCTCTAGTTGAGGCCAGTCTGAGAAGCCCACCAAGAGGAAGCCTCCTCCCAAGCTGGTGTTGAAGCTTCCCATAGCCTTGGACATGAACAAGTACCAGAAGGTAAATCAGTGCATCCTGTGGAAAACAAGGTTGATGCAGTGTTTACAGGGTTCCTTAAGGTCTCCTGTATCATGAGTTTTGTTATCTGTTCTGCTCTTCAGCTGATGCCCCTCCAGCCTTCTAGTCTTACTCTTTTCTACTTTAGGCAGAATACCTCTGGATTAGGAATGATATCATCTGTGTTTGAACCATGTCTCTGCTGCCTCTTTGTTTCTAGACTCGCTAGGCCTCTAGGTCCTGTTCTCATTACAATGAGATTCAGTCCTACCTAGTACCATGGAAATTGCCTTAAAATGGTGTGAAATCAGTTGTGGCAAAGGCACAGAGTTATAGCACGTGCCACAAAGTGAGGATTGGAGTTGAGACTTCCCCCAACATCCACAGAACCCCTTCCTCTGCTCAGAAACATCAGTAGGTATCAGACTCAAACACGTCTTCTTTATTGTAAGACCACATCATCAATTGGACCAGCATGAAGACAGTATCTGGCCTCTCATCCAATAACTTCATCACTGACTTGGACATAGAGGTGGTACAGGAACTGCCTAGTGTTGGGGAAGTGCTGGTGTTATTATCAGAGCTGCAAACATATTTCATTGTTTATGGAGACCATTCATATACAGAGGTACTCACAAACACACAGAGAAATGAGCATAGATACTCACTGGTCTTTGTGATGTAGAGCGTCAGCAGGATCAGATTTGCCAGTGCCTAAATGCTTTCGAATAGATAAAAGGAGTTAGATAGACACTATGACATTAAAAGACAATCTAAATGTATAAAAACATATTCAATCTAACTAAAAAATTATGCTGGCATATGCCACCTTCTGATTAGCCTCTGGATAACTGAACTCTGAGCAGGCACTAAATCAATCTGTACTTACACTGCATCAGTCTGTGCTTCTACAGACTCCATCATTCCCTCTTGCCTACACCATCTAGAGAAATCACACCACATTCACTCTGTCCCATGGCATTTATGGTGATTTTCAAGACTCCTTTGATGAAATATTAAATAATAACACACTAACATTTTGCAGTTTAAGACCAGAAAATTAAAGGAGACTAGTCAGATTAACCAATGTTCAAAGTCTGAATGAATGGATTACATTTTAAAGTCCAACACCACACACAGAACACCACCTCCAAATAAGAATCCTCTTTCATCCTCGGCCATTCTAATAAAGTGTACCTCATTTATTTTCTGCAGCCCTGAATCTTGTTTTGATCTGTCTCCTGGTTCTGTTGTCTGCAGTTTGGTTTGCATCTTAGATCCTAGGCATCAAAGAAATTGAGTTTTAGAAGGCTTATGAATCAGGGTATCCCCACTGAGTCTGTACTCACCAGAGTCCTGAGGGGAGGATTGTGTTTATGTCCCTCAATCCTGCTGATTATAGATAATATGAAACCCATTCCTCACCAATGTCATCTAGAAGTGTTTGAGAAAGAGCTGTGTCTCTTTGGTCCTAACTGCATCTGTGATATGGCAGGCTGGATCACAGTTCTGGTCCTGAAGAAATCATTTCTACTTGAGGCCACCTCCCCAGCAGGCTCACCTGCTGAGGCCCATAACTAAGGGAGGGGGGGATATCCTGTACAGTTAGTTCTCTAGCTCCCTCACCATAACCAACTTGCCCTACACAGAAGCTGGTATATCATCCCACCTGACCTTAAGGCAGACTGTACCATGCCCACCCTTGGGACATTGCCTGGGCCTTCTTAATAGAAGTGGAAACATGATTACGCAAGTGTGGCCTTGGAGACCTCTGGGGCTCCCTGAGACAATTACAATTAACTGACTGGTTCCCCAAGATCTGTCTGCTACCGTCACATCTGTCTATTCCTCCTACACTGCCCAATCCAAAGTGACACATTTTTATATGTGTGTGCAAAACTGTGTTAGTATATTCCTCATACTTGCTCTACTTTGAGCCAAATCTAACCAGCCTTTTCATCAGACCATATCCCATGTCTCACATAACCCAACCAAGGTCACCATTATCCAAATATCTTCTTTCCATGGAATTTCAGTCTTAAGTTCATTATCATGAATGTGGATTATTTGTTCAATGAAAATCTGATGTTTTGTATTGCTCTCATACAGCTTCTACTTCAAAATTATTAGTTGTTATTTTATACCCTGATTTTGCTCACAACAAAGCTAACACGTAGATATTGATTTTTGTTATCACTGTGTGTCAACTTGAACATCTAGGTGAAAAGTTGACAGGCAGCCCAGTGCTATGCTAGCAAGCTTCTGGGGAAATGTAAAGTCTACCAGTAGTTCACAGGAGATAATACTAAGCCTGTCCTAGTTGAACAGATCTCCCCAGAACACATGGTACATAGGAAATAAAGTCACAGATCGTTTGTCCAGTCTAGGGCTCAGCCTGTTAGCAGCTAATGGAAACAAGGAGTCACAGTGTTAGCCTGTGGCCTGTCAGATCTGAGGATCCAGCTCAACAAGCAGGCATACCAGGTCAGAATGCAGCCCTCAGGCCTGAGCCAGCCTGAGCATCACAAGCCAGCCCTGCCAAGACCATCAAGACCATCAGGGCAAGTGTGATGTGCAGCGGCCTTGTGTCAGCAAGGTACCCCAGGATGACGATGGTTTGAGAGGTGGTGTCTCCTATCCATACTGCTGTCCCCAATAACTACATGATCAGTAGAAGTGATAAGATCCATTGGTACTTTACTGCTCTTGGCTAATATTTCTTTCTCTTTAAATATCCCACTAGAAGCTCAACATCAACTAGAACTTATTTGAAATCAATGATAGTAGGTCTTCAGAGATCCTGACCACTCTTTATAAAAATGTTTCATTACATATTGTTAAACTATGAGCATCTCACCGATATGTAAAAGCATCTGTAAGAACTATACAGATATCACTTAAAGAGCTAGACAAAAACACTACACATGAGCGAGAAAAGGCACTCCCAGACGCCTTAAGGTTGTTGGGTAAAATTTCCAATAAGAAGAATGGGCTACTTTTCTTGAGTTGTTGTCCAGGGAAGGTCCTTGAGGCCCCATAGATTGTGACACTATTGCTGATAGTGTTGGTGGATGCTAGTTCTAGACAGCACATCTTTAGTACTGAAGACATCACAGGCTTTGGCTATTAGACATTGAAAAATAAAGCTCGGACTAAACTAGTAGCTCCTTCCCTTTCAGTAGCTTTTGCTGTGCTAGAAGGCATCACATTGGCATCAGGAGAATTGTCACCACCAGTTCTACTCAATTATACACCCCGTGGTGTGCTACATTAACAATATGCCAGGCAATCTGTGTAATAGTGGCACAACTGTTATGGGTAAATTGCTTTTCAGTTGAATTTGCGTTCCATTCCTCAGCAGAAACTTCAAATGGTACTATAAGCCGGAAAGAGGAGGTGAGAAAGTGTCTTCTACTATTTTCTTAAGTGAATATAAAGCAACTGCCAAAATTTCATCAGCCATTTTAAAATACATAACAGGGCAGTTCAGTGATTAGCAGTGGGTGTCTGCTTCTACTTCCACCAGATGCTGGATGAGGGCTAAAGGATGGCATATAAGGCATCAATCTCATTATCAGGGACGGGCATTTAAGGTAGCCTCTCCACTGTTACTTAGATGGTTAGTTGGTGTCATCTTTGTAGACTTCTGGATATTTCCCTAGTGCCTGATTTTTCTTTAAACCTATACTGGCACCCTCGATGATGGTGTCTCTTATTTTGCTCTCCTCTGTTCTTACCCTTTCATGTTCTTCCTGCTCCCTTATGTCCTCCTCACCCCTCCTCTTCTCCCCTTCTCATTCTCCTAGCTCCCCCTCCCCTCCCCCCATGATCCCAATTTACTCAGGAGATCTTGTTCTTTTCCCCTTCTTCAGGGGACCACTTAAGTCTCTCTTAGAGTCCTCCTTGTTTCCTAGCTTCTCTAGCAGTGTGGATTGTAGGCTGGTAATCCTTTGCTCTATATGTAAAATCCATATATTAGTGAGTGCATACCATGATTCTCTTTTTGTGACTGGGTTGCCTCGCTCAGAATGGTTTCTTCTAGATCCATCCATTTGCCTGAAACTTTCAAGATAAATTTCAAGATTCCATTGGTTTTTTTCTGCTGAGTAGTACTCCATTGTGTAAATGTACCACATTTTCTGTATCCATTCTTCAGTTGAGGGGCATCTAGGTTGCTTCCAGGTTCTGGATATTACAAATAATGCTGCTATGAACATAGTTGAACAGATGTCCTTGTTGTAGGAATGTGCTTCTTTTGGGTATATGCCTAAGTGTGGAATTGCTGGATCTTGTGGTAGACTCATTCCCATTTTCCTGAGAAATCACCATACTGATTTCCAAAGTGGCCACAGGAGTTGGCACTCCCACCAGCAGTGGAGGAGTGTTCCCCTTTCTCCACATCCTCTCCAGCATAAACTGTCATTGCTGTTTTTTATTTTAGCCATTCTGACAGGTGTAAGATGGTATCTCTGAGTTGTTTTGATTTACATTTCCCTTATGGCTAAGGATGTTGAACACTTTCTTATGTGTCTTTCAGCCATTTTAGATTCCTCTATTGATAATTCTCTATTTAGTTTTGTACCCCACTTTTTAATTGGATTATTTGGTGTTTTGGAGACTAGCTTCTTGAGTTCTTTGTAAATTTTGGAGATCCGACACCCCATGTTGGATATGGGGTTGGTGAATATCTTTTTCCATTCTGCGGGCTGCTGTTTTGTCTTGCTGACTGTGCCCTTTGCCTTACAGAAGCTTCTCAGCACCATAAGAGAGGGAGCCATTATAGGTTTAAAGAAAAATCATGCACTAGGGAAATGTCCAGAGATCTACAAGGATGACACCAACTAACCATCTAAGCAACAGTGGAGAAGCTACCTTAAATACCCTCCCCTGATGATGAGATTGATGACTAACTTATATGCCATCCTAGAACCTTCATCCAGCAGCTGATGGAAGTAGAAACAGATACCCACAGCTA